ACCCACCCACCTACCCACCCACCCACCTACCTACCTACCTACCTACCTACATGGTTTGAGCTACTCAGAATCCAAAACTATGTGAAACAGCATGTATACATTAATAACAATATTATCATAATCACCCTAATGTTGTTGAAAACGCTTAGACTTAAGGATGTAATCCTGAACAGAGAGTACAATTATTTTGTTTTCTTCTAAAGATAACGATTCACCGCCATATGATAATAATTTGACAGTTATTTGATACTGAAGGGTTTCAATGTGTAGTTGTCTGATGGCAGTGTATAAGGTTCAATCTAGCAGGTAATGAGAAGTGTTTTCGATGGTACCGCATGCGCATAGAGGGGATCTAACAATGTTTTTCTTATATAAATGTTCATTAAGAGAGCTGCTTGACATGCGTAGTCTAGCATGGTATATTTGCCCTAATCGTGAGCCATATGAGTAGTGTTTTGGTGGAGTTTTGTGGTTGTTGCGTTTAATATGTGATTTAAATTGATAAATGGAAGGGTTTCTCCTAACGTTAACCGGAATAGAGTTCCAGCTATTGATAACAGAGGGCAAGGCAGATCTTTGATACACATTAGAATGGCAATGAATGGGAGCGATAGTTGTAACATCCGAATGTCTAGTATTATGGCTATGTATTCCAATGACTAATTGTGGTACAAGATGGTTGAGGTATTGAGGGGTGTTTTGGTAGAACATTTTGTGGAAAACAATTAGTTTGTGTTGATGTCTACGTTCAATTAGTTTGTTCCAGCCTACTTCTATATACAGTTTGTCTATGCTTGTCAGTTTGGTTGCACCAGATACAATCCTAGCTGCCTCAGTATTAATTTGTTCCATTTTAGCACTATAGTCATCGGTAATATTATCCCACACTACGTCAGCATATTCAATAATAGGTCTGATAAATGAAAAGTAAGTAGTCTGTAATGTGTTTCGGTCGAGTTTGAATTTTAGAGAACGTAGAATATTTATTCTGACTGAGGCTTTACTAATAATGTAATTTACATGTTTGACCCAACTCCCGTCATTCGAAAAAAATACTCCTAATTTCTTCATTATTCATGTACAATGGTTGGTGATAAGTTTTTTTTCTTTTCTTTACTAATTAACATACTTTCGGTTGTTTTTGGATTGAAGCTTAATGGTTGGTGATAAGTTTTTTTTCTTTTCTTTACTAATTAACATACTTTCGGTTGTTTTTGGATTGAACCTTACCAACCACGATTTCGACCAGTTTGTAAGCGTTTGTAGGTCTGTCTGAAGAGCGGTTCCTGTAGTAGTTGGGTTATCGACAATCATGTATAGTGATGTATCGTCTGCAAATAATTTAGTTATATAATTTATGTTGTTAACGATATCGTTTATGCAGATAAGAAATAGAAGCGGGCCGATAATTGACCCTTGAGGGACCCCTGCTTTGACTTCAACACAATCAGAATATGCATTATTAATTATAATTCTTTGTTTTCGATCAGTTAAATAACTTGTAAACCATCTGAGAAGGGACCCAGCGATACCTATTTGGGATAACTTATACAAAAGACCCCCATGCCACACCCGGTCGAAGGCTTTGCTGATGTCACAGAAAATAACTCTAATTTCTTTCCCTGTGTCTAAAGTGTTCATAAAATCGTTTGAAATGCTGAGTAATTGGTTGACAGCTGAGTCCCCTGATCTAAAACCTGACTGATTATTGGTGAGAATTTGATAGTCAAGTAGGTAATTGTATACGTATTTATACACACACCTTTTAAATACTTTCCCTAAGATACAGAGTAATGAGATCGGTCGGTAGTTTTTAACACCGTTTCGGCTATTTTTTTTGTGAACAGGTAAAATATTTGCTTTTTTCCATAAGTTCGGAAATATTCCGACAGATAATGATTTGTTAAAAATAGACGCTAACGGTTCGCTTAAAGAATGGCTGCCTCTTTAAGTATTTTTGGACTAATGAAATCAGGTCCAGCAGCTTTACTGCAGTCAAGGTGAGAAAGACCATCATGGACATCAGTTTTCGATGCATGAATTGCGTTTAGGTTACTTTGATTTTGAATTTCTATGGGAGGAGGGATATCAGTTGAAGAGACATCAACTGAGGACTGCCTAGACAAATATTCATTAAACACGTTTGCTTTATCAACATCGTGCTCGTAGTAATTATTATCATAAAGAATAGTTGGGATTTCGTCAGATTTACCCATATCTTGCATAAATAGTTTTACGGTCTGCCACCAGGATTTACTCTTAAAATCTGGATCGACTAATTTGTAAAGGTGTTAGAATAGGACATTGTGTAACATATATAATTTTCATTTATTGAATTGATGGGGTTATTTAAGTTTACATACATGTATATATATTTCAGGGTGTCTATCCCGGACACCACACTATAACATATTTCTTCTAAAGTATAAAAGAATTGTTTTGCTTGATATTTTTATTAACCCCCTTGTTTTATAATACTCTTGGTAGAATTTAAGTGTAAATTGACGCGAATATATCCAAACTTTATTTGTGTTAACGCTTATATTCCAAAACCTTATTTTTGTTGAAGCTAATACACCCAAACCTTATTTATTTGTATGCCCACAACTTATTTTTGATGACGCTAATAAACGCAAATCCTATTTGTATTGACGCTTATATATACACAAACCCTACTTGTGTTGACGCTAATATTCCAAACCTTCTTTGTGCTGACGTTAATAAACCAAAACCTAATTCGTGTTGACGCTAATTTGCCTAGGCCTTATTTTTGTTGACGCTAATATACCAAAGCTTATTTGTGTTGACGCTAATCTACCCAAACCTTATTTGTGTTGACGCTAAAATACCTAAACCTTTTATATATTGACGCTAATATACCTAAACCTTTTATGTCTTGACGCTTATTTATCAAAGCTTATTTGTGTTGACGCTAATCTACCCAAACCTTATTTGTGTTGACGCTAATCCACCAAACCTTATTTGTGTTGACGCTTATATACCCAAACGTTATTTGTGTTGACGCTTATATACCAAAACGTTATTTGTGTTGACGCTAATCCACCAAATGTTATTTGTGTTGACGCTTATATACCAAAACGTTATTTGTGTTGACGCTAATCTACCCAAACCTTATTTGCTGATATTATGTTTTCATTGCTGCTCCTAGACCACGATGAAGTTCCCAGCCACCGTTAAAGTTGTCTGTCTCCTGGCGGGGATAGCTGTAACCTTTTACGGAGTAGAGGCAAATCGGTTCGTTACTCCACTATGAATTATAGTATTTGATTAGAATATATGATCAATTGATTGAAAGTGATTATTGTTATTAAGGTATATATCTTAATGAACATTATATAGTCTAATCAAAGCATTTGGTTTGCCTGATCTGATGTTTTCCCTGTATAGTACGTTTTGTTTGCATATTACACTACGTTGATAATATTATGAAAGTCGATTGCTTAACAACTGCTGTATTTTAATTTTCTGTGGTTGATACATTTTTCGCGAAAAATATTTATATTTTAAGCAAATTTCTGAGAAATATATATATAATATCGTCTATTATTATTTCTATTTTTAAAAACTAGCAAAAATATTACATGCATCGCAATAAACGTCATGGAACAGCAAGAACGGAAGATTTACATTAACACATGCACTTTCTTTGCAGATGCCCGTCCGACTGTAAACACGGTACTACTACAGTGTTACAGAGGATACACAAGGACTGTAGACGATTTTTTATTTTTCGGTCGAGGTGCACAAAGTAAGTTATAATAATAATAATAAAAATGATAATAATAATAATAATAATAATAATAATAATTCGAGGTTCCTACATACCTCCTTATCACAATTTAGTTCGTAGGTCGCCTCAAAGCGGTTCACAAATTATTATCCCTGGTTATACTAAGCAGCTCATAGTAAGCAATCCTTGGTGGTAGTAGAACTTATTTGTGATAGTCAACGTCAATTTATTGACTCTGTTGTACCGGTTTATATTAAATAGATGTAATGGAGGTATATTCAAGGTTAATAATAAGTTCTTGTGCGCTATAAGATAATAAAATCAAAAACGAAAACATTGGTTTTTATATATAAGAAAATTGATATGATCCATTTAATCATTTCATGGTTCATTGTATTGTTTAAATGTTAAGATATTAATAATATTTGCAAGATATATATTCCAAAAGATTTATCTCATCTTTTTTTTAATAATGTTTCACTATCATAAAAGTAAAAAGAAGTAAAGTAAGATAATTACCGAACATTATTTATCTCTTTTTCATTGAAGCAGAAGGAAAACGCAATCATTACGAATTTTGGGAAATAATGTATATTTTTATTATTTTATTTTAGAGTTGTATCTGTATGCGTGTGTGGTAAGTATATATTTTTAAGCAAGCTGATTAAGCTATACATCTGATCTGGACGTGTTATTTACCCATGTCAGTTTATTGAAAGTTTTACTTAAAAATTTTTGATTGTCAGCTTTTAATTGAAATCACATTTTTAAGAAACTAAACAAAACTTGTCGGAATGTGTATTTTTATTTTTTTGTTTAATATGCATGAACTTTACAAAGTATGAGAAGATATAAATAGAATTTAAACATACAATGTTAGGAAAACCAGCGTTACAGAACAGCTTATCAATAACTTCAATAATATTCATGGGTTTGGAAAATGTAATATCAAAGTTTTACTTTACACACAAACAATGTTCTTTGTTTTGTGTATAAAGTAAACTTTGATAATAGCTTATTAATCAGTTAAAAGGTGTTGAATTTACATTTTTTGTGTAAAAACTGCAGGGATATTAGTAGTGCAGTTAGCAAAATCAAATAATTCGATGTGGATACTATCTTCCAGCTACCCCCACCACTACAACTTCAACAAGTACCGCTCAAACCACAACAAGTAAGTACACAAAACCCGACCTTATCTAAAATCTATGCAATAACAGACTTATCAATGATGTTTTTTATATAGTTGTCTTATTATTCTGCATATCATATTTTCCCGATCACGATATTGACACGCAAAATCTCAAAAATATAATCTCCGCGGAAATAATCTGCTATACGGTATCTTCGTGGTAATTTCATTCTAATTTGATGCAAATGATCGAAGTTGGATGTCCCATTTCCCCTGCGCCATTTTTGCCACTGTAGCAGTAATTCTGTGTCCATATTATCTTTCAGCTACGATGACAACTACTTCAGGTCCAACAGCCAAACCAACAACAAGAAGGAAAACCATGCCAACCAAGCCTCCTGCAACAAGGAAAACCATGACAACCAAGCCTCCTGCAACAAGGAAAACAATGACAACCAAGCCTCCTGCAACAAGGAAAACCATGACAACTAAGCCTCCTGCAACAAGGAAAACCATGCCGACCATAACAAGCAAGACGGGCACTATAAAAACACTGAACACTGACGCCCTCTCTGTTATTTGCAATAACAGACCCAAAGACGAGTTTTACTTTCCATATCCGACAGATGCGTCTAAGTTCGTACAGTGTGGCGCGTACGGAAGAGCCTACTTGATGTCCTGTACTCCTTTGACGGTTTGGAATGATGCCATTAAAGTTTGTGACACAAAGCGAGTTTTGTAGACGACATTTCGCCCGATTGGCATATTTTTCATATAATGAAATATAGTAAAATTGCTATAAATATTTATAAAGTATCTCATTATTCCTTAAGCCTGATCGTATTCGCAGATTGAAATGTTCACCGATTTAAACTGAAGTGAGCAAATCTTCTAAGTCAAAGCATTTCAGAGATGGTAACAGATTACAAGGTCTGTAATTCTAAAAAAGAACAATTGCTATAAATACGAAATTAAGGAGCGCCTATTTAAAATTTAATTCGTCGATCCAGAAAGTCGAATAAAGTTAGGAATCAAAGCTTGAAATCCAAAATAGAAACCGAACACAATTGTGTATTTATTACCGTCCAAAACATACGATTTGCATGAAAAGAATGTGGATTTGTCTAACAATGAGATCCCTGTCTACAAACACTTCATTAAACTGCGTGCGGATAGATCTGAGCCTGTTTATTGACCAATGAAACCATGGAAATATCTATAGGTGTGTAACTTTTCGAAACACTTCATACTTGCATACCATGTTTCTGTGTTGTAATCTTTACGAATACCAGTTAACAGTAAGAATACGGTTGTGCCTTGTTTGTTAATAACGATTTATCGCTGGCTTTGCTAGTTGCACAAATAGAACATAATTAAAACCTATCAGTACAAGTAAATCAGTGTTATAGTTGTATTGTACACCCAGAGAAGGGAAAGTAATGACATGTGGATTTTGAGTAAATCAAAAGATCTTTAGATCAATGGCGTACATCCTTTCTTGAACAAGTTTCCCAGATCGGTATATATGACTTCTTCACTCTGTTCACTACCATATCTCATACCACATTGAAGGAAGGTCTTCGTTCTCACATCTTCAAAGTCATTTTGTTTCACGAAAGACTCACTGAGTTACAAATGTATTAAAATTGAAACTAGACTTGTCTCACATCAATGGAGGTATGAAGCGGTAGCATTTACTTATACACCACAGCGACAGGTCAGTTTTCGCCGTGTCAATTTTATTGACCCTGAGAGCTGACAGATTGATACTCAACAGATGATTGAATCATATGCCTATCTTTTGCCAGGTCAGTTAAGTTGCTCTTACAGCTGGCACGGCAAAAACTTAGTGAAAAATAGTTATTAAAACCTCTTGTTTCTTGTTTCAATCTAAATTCTAAGGTTGATTTTTACCCTTCTTTAATTACAAATGTTTGGAGCGTTATCTCAATATGCGAACGAAGTGACGCATTGTATTTCCATCACACCTTTGTTTTTGGTTTGGGGGTTTTGAATGGACTTTTTTTCATAAAATAATTTCATAATAAAAACATATTTCAAAATAAAATAACTTTCGTTTGTATTAATTTGATGACTGCTTCGACGCTATCGACAAAACAACATCAACAATAAATGCACGGTTAAAAATTGCTCAACAAATAATTTTTTGAGACATCTGTCCGAAAATATTTTAAAGCCCCATGCCAAGTTTAAACATCGTGCACAAAATATTGATTATCATTTTTCTAAGGAAAATAGAATAAATTGTTAATTTATAAATAGATAAAAATAACCAAACAAAGAATAACTAGAAATCGTTGGCAACAATTTGACGGTCTTTTTCACTGTTAGGACTGATTTGGTCTTTGATCACATTTTTTTTTTTAAATCAAGATCTTTTACCCTCTATGAAGAAAAGAATAATATAAACCAGAGTACTGAAAGTGAGCTTTGTTTTCATGAAGTATTCACTGTTTTAGACATTTGACCTCTATAACGTTGATCTTTGATCAAGGTCAACCATTTTCACAAACTTGATACCAATCACTGGATCACCTTTCATATGAAATATCAAGACCCAAGACCTTGTAGAACTTAAGAAGATTTTTTTTAAATGCGTTACCCAAAATAGCACTTTTTAAATTTGACCCCTACCAAAAGCCGAAGTTGACTTTTGACACATTTTTTTTCATTGATAGCAGTGACCAAATATCATTGCCCTAGGCCTATTGTTTATTGAGAAGAGGCCGTATAAAGATATTTAGACATTTTACGCCTATGACCTTGAAAGTAGGTCAATGTCAACCATTTTCACAAACTTGATAAACAATTACCTGTGCACCATATATATGAAATATCAAGTCCTTGTAGAACTTAAGAAGAAGATCTTTTAATTGTGTAATCCAAATTAGCACATTTGAAATTTGACCCTTACCGAAAACCGGAAGTTGACTTTTGACACAGAATTTTTTCCTAATTTTGTTTTTTGTTAGTGTTAAAATATATCCAAAGATGAATTTGAAATGTTAAGCCAATAATGAGTTATGGTCATTAAGGCAAAAACGGATATTACGTCATTGCGGCCATTTTCCCCCCAAAGAAGTCAAGAACCTAATCAATTTGGAAACACTCACTGGGGAAACTTTTATGCGATAAATAATTGGAAAAATATCTCACAGATATTGCAGATTTTAACATCTTGTCGGCGTTTCAAAAAGATCACAGGAAATTTTCAAAATGGCGTACAATCGAACGGAAAACGTTTTAGAAACCGAAGACACCAACTTAATCGGAAAAGCATACTGCATCGATTTCAAAAAGAATTAAAAAAAATATTGAAAAATGAAAAGGTTGAAAAATTGGTACCCTTTGACCCAACAGCGAGGTTTTTATTTGACTTTTTTTTGTATTAACATGTAAAAAAAGGTTAACCCCGAAGAATATCTACAAATTATATCATTGCATAAGTGCTTTACAATCAATACGTTTTGTGTTATGGCCATTTTAAGAAATTGACCTATGACATCATGGCGGCCATATTGGATATTTGAACTTGAAAATGTTGCAATGACACCTTTTGACCTTGGCCTACAATATACTTATGAGACTGTTAACACATCTGCTACCACTCAAAAGATAAGGTGGCCACACAAGAAGAAGAAGAAGAAGAAGAAGAAGAAGAAGAAGAAGAAGAAGAAGAAAAAAAAAAAGAAGAAGAACTAGAAATTGTTGGCTAACAATTTCACGGGCTTTTCACTGTAAGGACTGATTTTGCCTTATAGCTAAACATCCAAGCAGCTTACACATCAAATATCAAGACTCTAGACTTTAATCAACCCCAGAAAAAGCTTTTCAAAGTTTATTACCCGAAAACCGGAAGTTGACATTTGATGGTCATAGATCAAAAATCAATACCCTGGGCATTTCTGTTTTTGAGAAGAAGTCTTTGGAAGATTTTAACATAATTGACCCCAGTGACCTTGATCATAGGTCAAGGTCATTCATATTATTAAACTTGATAGTCCATTGCTTGAGCATGATATTCACCTAATATCATGACCTTGGATCACTTGGTTATTGAGAAGAAGTTTTTTGAAGTTTGTTTCACAAAATTACACATTCGAACTTCGACCCCTACCGAAAACCCGAAGTAGACATTTTTATGCTAAATTAATCTGAAAGAAAAGGTTTGCCGTTGCATGTCTCATTATCATATTGAAAGATCAACTTTGTGCTTGATATTGTTAACGAAATATATTGGTATAGGCCTTTAACCAATCGGAGCCCCTGGCGGCCATCTTGAAATTCTGATCACTCCCAAAAAAGTTCGTTAGGACCCCCAGAGGAATGCAGTTACTAATTTTGGTTAATACTAGACTGGTTGAATTGGAGAAGATCCGTAAATGTTTTTTACCAAAAGCAGAACATTTGAACTTTGACCCCATACCGAAAACCGGAAATTGACATTTTTTTCCTAAAACAATACGAGAGAGAAAGTTTGCCCTTGTATATCTCTATATCATATCCACAGATAAACTGTGTGCTTGGTATCAAGAACGAAATACATTGGTATAGGCTATTAACCAATCAGAGCTCGTGGCGGTCATGTTGGAATTTTAATTGCTCCAAAAATTTACAAGATCCCAGAATGTTTTACACAAAGCAGCACATTTGAACTTTGACCCCATATTTTGAGATCAAAGGAAATATTGAATAGCATAGGACGTTAACGATGAACGTCACAGAAAAAATAGACATTTAATTCATTGGGATGGAATTCAACATCAACTGCAAAATGATTTTTTTAAAGTTAAAAAAATGAAAAAGTTGAAAAAATTGATTGCCTTTGACTCAATAAGGAGATATTTAATTTGACCTTGTTTCTAATAACATTTTACGAGAAAAAAAGTTAGCCCCAAGTAATATCTGCAAATGATATCACGCATAAATGCTGTATAATAAACGGTTGATCATTTATGGCGGTTTTAAGATTTTGACCTGTGACGTCCTGTCAGACATATTGGTTTTTTGTCGTACTTGAAAATGTTGCAATAACATCTTTAATCATGGCCTACAATATCCTTGAAAGACTTTGAACATGTCTGCTACAAATCATACCAACCAAGATTAGGACGCCAACATTTCACGAATCTGATGGTGAAAAGCCCTCATAATTAGAACAACACTTTCGACCCCGATGACCTATCACCTATCTTTCCACTATGGTTCTGCCTCGAAAATATTACTTTTTACTTCTTGGTAACATAGAAAAAGATATTTCAATATAACCTGCATTTTTTGAGTCTAAATATAAATCAAAGTACTGAGAGTCCTGAGAAAAAGACAAAATCACAAAAAAATTAAAACGTTTTTTTACTTTAACTTTTGAAATTATATTTAGAGTAGGTCAAGATCATTCGTTTGCACAGATTTCGTTACCCTGAGATTCTTGGTTATTCAGAAAAAAGTGGTTTGCATATTTTTACATATATGACCTCTGTGACCTTGAAAGTCAATCAAGGTCAATCATTTTTTCAAACTTGATAGCCAATTACCTGACCATGTTATGTATCAAATATCAAGACGTCATACCTGAATAAAAGTGAATCTATCGAACAATTTTCGAAATATTCTTGATTAAAGATTTGTTTTTAACATTTGACGTTTGTGACCTTGATAGTTGATCAAGGTCAACCATTTGTTTAAACCTGATAGCTGAACATCTCAGCATCTTACAACTTAAGAAGAAGATTTTTAAAGTTTGTTACCCAATGTAGTGCATTTGAACTTTGACCCCTACTAAAAACCGGAAGTTGACATTATTTGTTAAAACAGTATGAAAAAAAAGTTTGCTCTTGCTTATCTCTATATGATATTCAAATATCAACCTCGTGCTTGATATCGTTAACGAAATATATTGGTATAGGCTTTTAACCAATCAGAGTTCGTGGAGGCCATTTTAGAATGTAAATTGCTCCAAAAAGTAACTTAAGTTCGTAAGGGCCCCTTGAGGAATACATGTACCAATTGTGGTTAATATTGCAATGGCAGAATTGGAAAAGAAGATCGTTGAAGTTTGTAAAAATATTGTCGGCTTTTAAAAAAGATCAAAGGCAATTTTTTCTAAAAAAATAAAAAATGAAAAGAAATGAAAATAAGTGTCCTTTGAAAACATGACAAGAATTTAACCTTGACCCTTTTCCTCATTACATGGCATGGGTCAAATTTAGCCCCAACCACACTCTATCGGTATATTATAGCAAAATCACAGTACCACTTATAGTTAAAGAGATATGGCTGTTAAAACAAAGGTAAAAAAGTCACTTTATAGGTCATAGCGGCCATATTGAATTGTTGATCAACTTGAAAATTTGGCAATGACATCTCCAAACCATTACATACAACTTGGGAAAATATCATGTACATACCCATTACCATTTAGAAGGGACTGTGGTGACAAGATCTTGAGGAGAATAATAATAAAAAAAACAGAACAAAAACAATAGGTCTTTTCACCCGTTGGTGAAAAGCCCTAATAAGAAACATAACAATTCCAATAGGTTTTTTCACCAGTTGGTGAAAAGCCCTAATTAAACAATTAAATAGATATTAATAAATAAACTGGTTGCATTTTGTTGAACCCCTATGATAAGAACACTAATGATAGATATTGGCATCCTTGTGCAAACAATTGTATTGGTCATAATTCAGATTTTCATTGACGAAGTTAAGGAGTTGAAGCCGAAATCGCTCCGTCATTTACACAACTGAAAGCTAGAGATCAACTTGATTTGGAAAAAGGTTGTATTGCACATGGTCATTCAAATTAGTAAAGCTATTCCAAATAAGGAATGATAGAAAAGTATATAGTTTATTTCTATATATATAGCACAATTCAACGCTTCATGTCATAAACAAATTACACTTGAAACAATTTCAGAGTCGGTACGAAAAGACAGGAACCGAACAGACAACAAATAAAAATGAGGTCTTAAAGACTTTGGAGGAAGGTGTTTTCTGAAGCAAATGGGTAGGCTAAATATCTT